GGCCGGGTTAGGGGAGCAAAGCGGTAGGGACAGGCCTGCACGGCCGGCTTCAAGGAGCGACCATGGTACCTCTGGACTGCTCACACAGCAGCTGGAAGGAAAGAAAAACATAAACTGCTTTGTGCAACCTCCTCCATAGCCTAACTGGTACCTAAATCAGTAAGGATTAAAGGAAGTATGTAACAGTACTCCACAAACTGTAACGCAATTATATAACTAACCTTAAGGCCCAACATCGTAACGATGGCATAAACCTTTCCTAGCATTCAAACTGTCAACTGTCAGCATTCAAACAGGTATTATTCTGAAATACAGAATCGACACCTAAATAGACATTTAGCCTAGCTGAGACCCGTTGGAATTTGGGGTCCATGGCATGGTTACTTGGAAAAACAAGTAAGTAACTTTAACAAAAATTAACTTGTCTCTATTTCTTCCCAACTAAGACCTTTTCCTTTTCTTTTTTTTAGCAGTACTGAGGGTTGAATCCAAGGCCTTCACAATGAGCTATCTCCCTAACCCCTTTATACTTTTTTTACTTTGAGACAAGGTCTCCCTACACTGCCTGGGTTAGGCTTGAGCTTAGGATCTTATCTCAGTCTCCCAGAGTGCTGAGCCGGGAGCACAGGCCTGCAGCCCCAGGCCCGACTCAGACAGCCTTCTTGTGTGTCAGCCGCACCTCCAGGCGCAGCGAGGATGGCTACGTAAGCAACAGTGGCACGGAATGCCCAGGGAACCAGTTCCCGAAGAGCACTGTAACAAATCGCACACGAACTCTGGCTTACACAGAAGGAAATGTACTTCTCAGCTGTTCAGGTCAGACGGCTGAAAGCGAGGCCTGGCGGTGTTCTCCTGGAAGGAGGCTCCCGGTACCATCCAGTCCCTGCGTCTCTCCTCACTTCCGGCGGCCGCGGGCAATGCTGGCTTACTCAGGGTCTCTCCAGTCTCTGCCTCTCCCTTCACATTTCTTACCCCACGCATGCTTTTTGTTTCTTGTAAGGACCTTCTCCGCTGGTTCACGGTCCCATCAAGCAGGCTCTCATCTTGGGATACCTGGTTTAACTTCCTGGAGTTTTAGTTTTGGTTTGATTTTTTACAGTGCTGGAGATCAAATCTAGGGCCCTGCATATGCTAGGCAAGCCTTCTACCACTGAGCCATATCCTCAGTCCTCTGATTACTATAGACTGAATTGTGTCTCTCTCTCACACTGCAAAGAAATCCGAATCCCCAGCACCTCAGCATTTGATATTATTTAGAAATAGCATCGCGGTAGATGTGCTTAGTTAGGACAAGGTCATATTGGTAAAAGGTGGACCCCTAGTCTAATATAATTGGTATCCTTGTAAGAAAAGAGAAGAAATACAGAGATAAGAACACACAGGGGAAAATGCCACGTGAAGAGGAAGACAGACTGGAATGAGGTGTTTACAAGTCAAAGAACATCACACGGACCACTGGTAAAATAGCAGAGAAAAACAAGGAAAAACTGTCTCTTACAGGTTTCTGGGCAAGCGTGGCTCTGCCAGCACCTCGACTTTGGATCTCTAGCCCCCAGAACTAAAAAAGAGACTAAATTATTATTGTTTAAGATACAGAGTTTGTCATTTTTAGTAGCAGTCCTAGCCAACAAACACAGGGGTTGTGCTTTAAAGCTCGTGTGCTCAGACGTGGGACTTGCAGACAGCAACTGGAGCACAGGCGTGTTATATTCCTCGGTGGATTACGACACTGGGGAGTTCATCACTGAATGCGCTCTCTGTAGGCAGAGTAGGGCACTGGGAATAACTTGAAAGGGTATATTCTTGTTCTAGAGCCTTCTTTTCTCTTTGCTTCCTGACTGCCATGGTTGAGCGGCTTTCCTCTGTCATGCCATTTCTGCCTTGGAGCTAGCCTACCATGGACTGCACATCTGAAAACTGTAAGCCAAAATCAACCTTTCCTCCTTAACATTGTGGGAGCTAGGTGCTCTGCCCTTGTGATAGGAAAGAGACTAATACGGGGGTGGATATGAATTTGAGGAGGACATTACATAATCCCCTATAGCCATTAGGGGTTTTCATTAGGACTGTTATCAATACTAGCAGAGTGGAGTTTTTACTATCAAGAACTTTGCTGTCTTGGAGAAGCATGGAGCCAGAGTCCTAATTTCTATCCTGTGTGTTGATAGAGTCACCAATGAAAAAGTATGATAATATTCTTCAGGCTCTCAGCAATGCTGCTTACACCATTCTCCTCCCTTTTCCACCATGATAACTTGTCTGGATAAACTTGTAGTCGTAGTTTATAGCATTACCGCTACCTACATGAACATAGCCTCTCTGGTTAACTGCAGTGCAATGTCTACAGTGATAGAAAAATACTAACCTAAACCCAGTGGCACTGGAAGGGTACAGTTCCTAAGCGGGTGTGAAGTTCCCCGGTTGGCCTTCACACCCTCCCACTCCCAACAAGGACATCACTGATCTGACCTGCCACCCACAGGAAGCCAAAGCAGATGACTGCATCACAGCGGTAGGCAAGCGAGCGTCCGAAAGATATCCAGCGCTGTCTAAAGATTAAACTACCTCCTGAGACTTTCACGGTGACACTGACTCATCTCGCTTTGATGCTAAGGTGGCCCTGGTCTTAAGCACCTCCGTACCAAGCTTGCAGGATAACAACAGACTGGACTAGAGCGGCTGAACAGCAGACCTCAGAACCCACATGCCAGCAACAGCGTGAAAAAAACAAAGACCAGCACAGCTGCTGGGGAAAGGAAGGCGTGTGCCCAACACTAGCCACAGCAGGCCGACAGTCTCCTTTCTGCTCAACAGTGCTGTCCCCTAAGGGTGGCTTTAGAAAGCCATGTTCTGTTACATGTGATCAGTACCAGCCCTAACGTCCTCAGGGTACCCGTGCAGGGTTAACCACACCCCTGCCCCCCAGGGCAGGGGACAGACTTCCGTAACACTGAGCTACAGGTGAGATTCCAACAAAAAGTAAGCATTATAGACAAACAGCTCAATAATGTTACTTCTTGAAAGCTTTCACGTTTCATACCTGTATATTCAGAAAATGGCTTATGTATAACGCCGAGCACAGGTTTACCATTTACAGCCACACACACCATTGTTGTAACATACTGTCGAAGATCCTCTGTGAGAAAAGGAAAGTACACAACTGTCAAGGTACGGTGCATAAACCTGGGACAGAAGATTCTGTTTGATTTCATTACAGTTTTATGTACAAGGAAAGTGTTCCAAAGACAACAGTTTCTTCAAACAAAGTCTAAGGATGAAGGCCAGATGCAGAGGGCAGTTGAAGAGTTTTGGTTCTAGACGCAGATTAGCTGGGTTACTTTCCAGCCCATCTCTTTATTATCAGCATGTCTTTGAAAAAATTACTTAAATTCAGTTTCCCCATCTGTATAATACAGACAACAATTATCCATTTTTAGATATAAATTAATTTTTCATTTTAGGATTAAATTTAAAAATCGACTTGGTTAAAACAGTTCCCATACAAGAAATGTGTTTATTAAATACTATCATTATTATGTTTTCAGGCCACTTGAGATTAGAACTTACACACTCACTCCTCACCACTCCACATGTCATTTACCTGCCCCTGAAAAGTACTGCTTTCCAATTTCAATGATATTAGACAGTGCTCTCCAGAAGAGTCATCTACTGAACGTCTACTACGGTTCAAGTTCAGTTCATAAGCACTAGAATGTAAGAGTGATAAAGCAGAGGCCCCCACATTTAGGAAGTGTACCGCTACTGGGACAAACAGATAAACAACTAACTTTCATTTATATATAACAAGAGAGAAAGCAGTAATCAGGCTATCTCCAGAGAAAAACAATGCCTGAGAAAGAAATCTGGAGACAGATATAAGTAAAAGGAGTGGGAAGTGTGATAAGGGCAGTAACTCTGTTCTCTGCTTACATGGTTTCTGAGCTCCTAGCAGTCACCATTTTGAATTCCAACATCAGATAGATATATAGATACAAATTCCCAAGACCCTAAGTAGCTATTATATTCTAATTAAATAAATTTCAATAACAGATGTTCAACTGAAACTATTACGTGGCTAATGTTAAACATATTCCTTAACTGAAGAATCAGCAAGTTTCTGACTCTGAATGAGCTAGAAGGGATGTTGTAATAAAGGGATCTTGGACCAAAAAAAAAAAAGTGGAAAATAGTTGATCCGGTCCAAATGTTTCAGATAACACTGTATTAACCTACCTTTCTTATCTTAAAATAAACATTCTTGGACTTGTCAAGTATCTACCACCATCTATACCACCTGTTTTGGTTCTAGTGCTTTAATATAAAACAGCAACCTAAGGTTTGAGATCAATTTTAAAATTACCTGTATATTCCTGTGTAGCATCTAGCGGATCAATCCAGACCGTAACGCTCTCCGCTGGGACCTGTTTAGCGGTGGTTATTTCCTTCAGGATATCCTCAGGAATTTTACGATCCCATGATTTAACCTCTTTATCAGTTGCATCCACATGTTCCTCAGTGTTTATCTACACCAAAAATAGATGACAGTGCAGAAAGAAGTAAAACATGACTACTTATTAAAACACACAAAATGATACTTCAGACAAAGTCACATAAATTGTTATTAAATAATACTTATTTTTATTTCAAGACACTGCAAAATGAAAATATGTTCTAATAAAAATTTCCGTGACATCTTGTCTTCAAATACTCTCATTTTTAATACTGCAGTTTAATTTTTTGGTTCATCAAGGTTGAGAATTCGAATACGGACAGACATGGAGATAAAGCATCAAACTACTTACAAACAAGCTGCTTAAATCTTCCCGATAGCACTTGAAAAAATAATAGCTTCAAAGTATGAAAATAATACTCTGAAACACTGAATGCCACGAACTATACTTAGAAGTTAAAAGCAAACAGACATGGAGATATAAGCATCAAACTACTTACAAACAAGCTGCTTAAATCTTCCCGATAGCACTTGAAAAAATAATAGCTTCAAAGTATGAAAATAATACTCTGAAACACTGAATGCCATGAACTATACTTAGAAGTTAAAAGCAAATAGGAGAATAATGTACTTTAAAAACCAGTAACCTTAAAAAGAGAGAATTACAAATTCTAAGAGATAACACATCTTAGAAAAGTGATTGTCTAAAATACATCTTTAGCCAACAGGGACAACGGAACCTAAAAATTATAAAGCCAGTATTAGGAAACCTAAATAATGCTGAAATAAGCAATCAAAAGGGACACAACAAATGATCAGTCTTCACTACCCACCAAAATTGTGTCATAGGACAAGGATGTAAAGTCAACTTTTCTATTTTTTATTAGGGGACAAAATTAAAAAATAAATCAGATTTGTTATACAGGTAAGAGTATGAGGTAAGGAGTGTATACACACATATGTATAGACATTTCAGAGCTATTCAGATATATGCATATGTAGCACTACATATAATAACTACTAAGAGAATACAGTGTAGCTTCCTTTAAACTCGCATTTTTAAACCTCAGTACTTTGGATTTGTACTGAATTATTTTTGTTGTGGGACTAACCTGTGTTTTGTAGCATGTCCAACAGCCTTCCTGGCTAGATGCTGTTAAACACCCTACAGTGTAGAACCCCCTGGACAGATACGGGCACCACAACCCTGTCAGTGCGGACAGCCAAAGCTGTCTCTAAACACTGCCCAGTCTGTCCCCAGCCCAACCTATGGGAAGAGTCACTTTGTAAAATTATGAACGTATTAATGTATATTTAAAATACAGTTCATTTGCAAATTTATGATTTTTCCATTTATACTACTTTCTAATCATTAAATTTATTGGTCCAGGTCAGATACAATAATCACACTGAGCACTGGAACTTGTACCTGTAAGTGGCCTGATTCTTCTTCCCCATGCCCTGATTCTTCTTCCCCTCTTCTCTTCTTACTTACAAAAGCTCTGTTTCCACTTTACCTTTCTTTTCTTGCTTTTTTCTTTTTCTTTCTTTCCTCTTCCCCTTCCTTTTCTTCCTATTTTGCAATATCTATTATATACTTTGGTTCCTATTTACACGTTCAGTTTCTCACATCAGAGAAACAATACCATATTTATACATGCGTATCCAATTTACTTCACTTAAGAGTATGGTCTCTAGGTATGGTCTCCACTACCTATAAATGTCTCAAGGTTATCCTTCTTTAATGTCTTTAAAATGTTTTAAAACTGCAGTGACCTTTCAAAATTAGGACACACTAATGAAGCAACTCTAGTACAATAACTGACTACACTTTAAGAAGTTTAAACAAATGCCATACGTAGTCAAATACTGGTTCAACCTTTCAAATCATGATATGTACATGCAAGAAAAATGCTCCTCTACTGTGGGTTTCGGTTAGAGACAAATACCCTATGCACACAGCCTCTCTGAGTCCTACGCTTCCTGACGAGGTCCCTTTCCAGAGCAGATCATCATGTTTACACTGCATATGATGCCCTAGCTGGCCCCCAAGTTACAGTGCTGGAGTGATCACGTGAAAATACATGATTTAAAAGTCACCAGCAATATAGAAACTGCAAGTCTATCAGCAATGTCTGGGTGACACCCTGAAAGTTCCTACACTGCCCTAAAAGTTAAAAAAAGTACTAGTGTTTCAGAAATATCAAACCACTTAAATCATAAAATATTTCTTACTGCAGATCACAGTAAACACCCAATTCATCCATTTACTTATGTACTTATTAATTCAGTAAATGTTTACTGTTCATCAACTATATGTCACAGTTCCAGAACCTAAATTTAAAGCAGTGATAAATATGAAACAAAAATCTCTACTTCCGTGAAACTCAGATTCTAGTGGTAATAAACAATAAACAAATATCTAAGCAAAAGTGTAGTGTGATATGCAGTGTGACATGTATTATGCTTCTGTGATGAGGAGGAGAGAATAAAGCAGATAACAGGTGTGCTGCTAGGCAGTAGAGAGAGGGTTACTCTTCAAGACAGGGTAACTAGGCTTCTTCAAAGCCCCAAATTGGAAACTACCTAGTATCTATCAACTGATGAATGAAGGAACTTGTTATGATATACCCACATAACAGAAAGTTATTCGGCAATAAATAGGTTGAACAGGAGGTGTTGATTCACAGTAGAACACAGAGAAGGACTTTCGCTTTGTGAGAGAATAAAGGCACAGGAGACCCTATACTACACAATTGCGTTCGTGTAAAACGTCCAGAGTAAGCAAATCTATGGGGATGCACACGGGGGTGGGGGGTGGGGGTGGGGATAAAGATCTTCATAGTAAGCAGGTCCTGGGGGACTTACTGGGGTGATGAACATATTCTCAAAGGGAATGAATGAGGGCACCTGCAAAATTAAAATCAACTAAAAATTACTGACCTCCCTTAAACTGGGCAAATTACATGGTATATAAAATATGCTGCAATAAAGTTGTTTAAAAAAATGGAGTAGCCAGGTGTGGTGGCACACACCTGTAATCCCAGCGCTGGGGAGGATGAGGCAGGAGGATCACAGTTTTCCAGGCCAGCCTGGATTACAAGTTAGTCCAGACCAACTTGAACTATCCAGCGAGACCCTGTCTCAATAAACAAACAAACAAACAAACAAACCGAGTAGTTGGGGAGGCGCTCACTAAAGAAGTGACATCTGAGCAAAGATCTGAGAGCTTGGCAGGGAAAGCAGATCCCAGCCCGCGGGGTAACAAACACGTAAGGGACACGGAGACCCCGCTGTGGGAGTGAGCCCGCTACGCTCTCAGCAGCCAGGAGGCAAGCTGCAGCAGGCAACCAAGGAGAAAGGCACTGGATTTGAGGGCAGAGGAATGGGAGCCGGATGGGGAAGTGTCCTGCGGGCTACAGCACAGCGGCAGCTGCGGGCCTTCATAACCCCTACTAACAACGTGCGGAGTGTCCTAAACGCTGAGTGAGCTCAGAAGGGTTATGAGAGGGATGTGGGGGATGTGGTACAAAAACTACAAATAATCAAAACCAAAATATAGAGTCGACTGAGCAGTGAGAAAATACAAAAGAAATAGCTGAAGACAGAGAACTAACACTATCATAAAGTTGCTAGGTTACACATGTATCAATTCCGTTTTTATATACTAGCAATAAATATTTAAGTTTTTGAAACAGAAAAAAGTCTGGAAGTAAGTCTACGTAAGGCACAGGGAGACAAACTTCTTTAAAAGGTATTAACAAAAACTATGCAGAAGACAGTCTACTTCAATGGAAAGACTAAAAGACATCAACTCTCCCATAAGTAAACTACACCTCTGACGCACCTCCAACCTCCTTACAAGTTTGCTTTTTAATGGCTTCTTGGAAATTGGACAAACCATTCCTGAAATTTACATGGTAGAGCAAAAAGCCAGGAAAAGTCACATTTATGAGAGAAGGAAAAACAAAAGTATATAATGGTGCAATAACTTCCCCTACCAGATATCAAGGTTACTGTAATAGCAGGATAATTAAGACAGGGTGGCACTAATGACATATTTTGTCTTCCAAGCCCACCCACTTAATAGCAATGCTAGGCTGTGACAGACAGTTCAATAAATGTAGGAACAGCACCATGCAAAAGAATAAATTTATTTAATATTATTATTTTAATCATATCATTAATATAATATTAATGTAAAATATTATATTATTAAAATTATTATTTAAAATAAGTACCAGAAAAGCTGAAGTAGGTAATGGGGCTCGACCGCTGTAGTTCAGAAAAATACAATGCCAAGTCTGATTATCAAGTACCAAGCCTTACAGCTGAGAGTTCTGCCTCCTCCATACACCCTCAACTGAGTGCGAGCTAACACATTACACAGCCTGACTTGAACAGATCTCGTGAAGGTGAAGCTGGACTGCCAACTGGACTGGCTTAGGATCTGCCCAGCGGATGATGAGGTACAGCTCTGGGCATGTGTGGGCATGGAAGCCGGCCTTGTCCGCATGGGTCCCTTTCCCCTTGCTATCACTGCCACCATGAACTAAGCAGCTTTGCTCTGCTCTGCCTTCCCCACACGATGGTCCTGACCTGGGCCAGGCAACCGAGGACGGAGCCTCTGAAACTGTGAGGTCAAATAAATGCCTCTCCTCCTTTAAGCTGTAAGGGTCAGATACGCTGGCAAAAACCTCAGCCTCTCTGAGCTGCAATTTGTCTGTCTGCAGGTGGTGGCTACATGATTGAACCTATGTGGTTCTGCAGATAAATTCAGGATCCACTATGTGTTACAGGTTGAATCAATTTTAGCTACTAAAATAAGCCAACTAATTTCCCACTGCCTCTCTCATCTCTCGTAAGATCTGTTCTAGAGTCTTCTCATCGTCGTCATTTTCCTTCAAATGCCAATAGCTCAAAGCAGGGCATACCTCAGGCCTCAATATGAAGCCTTCTTTTAGTGCTCTAGTGCTAAAGGTCAGATCTACATGCTTTGAGCTTAGAATACGACATAGCCCAGCCCTATCTTTCCAATCTCTCCCATAGTAATTCTCCCAAAGCTCATCGGAC